CACTCTCGTCAGTAATAGCTAATTGTACTTCCCAAAGACGACTATTCTCAGGCGTCTGTTTAATTTCACCAACACGGAAAACAGTGTGCATTGTAAATAATATTTCTTGTTCTTGTGGGAGAGCACTGTGTTCATCAATCATTGCAAATGGTGTGATTGAAGTTGATATTTTACTTGGATCTATTTTCATAATAAACATAACACCCACAATATCTGGATTTCTCTCTAGGATCTGTGGAGCAAATAATGTGGCCACTTCTCTTTCCATACTAGTCGATAAGAAATTGTTGAATGAAAGGAGCCCACCTTTTGAATCCATTAGGTTTTGAAAGTCTTGTTGACTGAGCCCCTGACCACGATAAACGGTAAAGGATTTCTTGAAACTTGCCGACTGCTCCTGATGCAATTGTTCTAATTGAAGATGCAGTTTTCGAATGAAAAATCCTAATTTGGACATCGCTTCCATATCAAGCGATCTTAACCCACGATTAAGCATACCATAGAGAAAAATTTGTTTGGTATACCACCAGACTGCTGATTTCTGGTGGTAGTTAAGCTTAAATTTATTTATTTCTTTTTCTGGGATATTTTGTTTTTGGCAATATATTGCTAAAGTGTTCATAGATTTTTCGTCATCGTCATCGATTTCTAATATAATATCCTTGAAGATTACCGAGTACATATAATTCGGTGGTAATTGATTAAGACTTTTTTGATCCGAGCCTGTTACCCCTTCTGCCACTGTTTGCTTCGGAACGAAGCTCATCGGGATCGAATCATGATCGCACTCATGGGCGACCTTTTTCAGCGATTCACATATCGGCTTGATGGAGGTGAAAACACCTCGAATCTTGGACCATTCCTTCGCCCATGGTTCATGGCACGCCTTGTTGTCGCACAAAATGTAAATGGCATCCACTTTTGGTATGCCGTGAATGTCATTTACAAGGCTTTGTCCTAATGGTTCCGATGAAATTATGAAGGCTTTGCCATCATCAATCTCATCGAGAAATTCGACACACTGCTCTGGTGTCGTGCACGCGTTCACATCACTGACCACTGTGCGTAGTTGTGCCAGTGTACTTCGGTAATCGTCATTGTTTTCGTCGATGTTGCCATCGACCCAAATGACCAGATAATTTTGAGCCATGCGACGCCTTGATGGCATTGCTGCAGCAGCTAATTTTCTTCCACTCATGTTGTGTGCGTGTTGTTGCTTGATAAAAGACGAGAATTGTGAACGAATTTTTGCTATTTATACGTAAATTACTGTTTCTATTTCTATAGTCGGCACCTTTTCTTTTTTTTCTTCTCGATTTTTCGACGACATATAATTCGAGTGTTTTTTTTGTTTCTTTGACACAACAAGAAACTTCGCCTGGTCTCAAAATTGAAAATATAGTAGTCAGTAAACAAAGGAACGAACAAAAAAATTCCAACATTACTATTCGTTCCAACTTCGATTTGTTTTTTCATCTAGATGAAAACTCAAGTGACATTATATTTGATGTCTCGTCTACCTCATTGTTTATTCTTCTCTTTTTGGTAAGAACAAAAATATTCTAAGATTTCGTTCATTCATTCATTTATTTTTTTCATTATGAATGTGAACTATTCGTGTTGAAATAAACGAATGCAACAAGTTACCAATTATGTTTCTCATCGTTTTCTCCTCCAGCTCAATCTTAAATTAACAATGTGAAGAGAAACTATCCAAAAGAAAATTCACGCAGAAATTTTGATTTCGAGGTTAATCAAATTTTGGTGCACTTTTTTCTCCAAAAATAAATCTAACAATTAGAAAATCAATAGAATGGTTGGTTATCATTTACCACAAATCGTCACCCCCATATTTCACCTCCACATCGTATCCATATTTGTGGATGATACAAAGAATATTATCCCTACTGACGACCACATAGGGATTTTGATTTAGGGGTTTTTCAATTTAGGGATTTTGTTTTTGAAAATAAGATATGTCGTATACATCATGATTTAAGACCATATTCAGCTGTGCTGAAAATACTTCTGCCATCAAAGCTAGGTGGTGCTACAAAAACCACAGTACCAGAAAACACATTCTCGTGACCAGATAGACAAATATCAAACAGAGAGATACCAGCAGAGAGATAATATTAAGTCGTTTTTTAGGATTCTGATGACCAGAATGCGTGTGCTGGTAGTGCTGTTTTCGTGGCACCACCTAGCTTTGATAATAAAAAATTTTCAGCAAGGTAAAACATGATGTTCAGTCATGATGGTTCCAACATATCCTACATTCAAAACAAATCCCTAAATCAAAATCCCTATTTGTTCATCAGTAGAGATAATATTCTTTTCATTCTCCACAAATAGGGATATGATTTAGGGATGAAATCTGGGATGACGATGTGTGGTAAGTGATAGACATTCATCATTAAAAAAAAGTAAATCACCCCAGACAAAGAAAAAAACATCGTTAAAAAAACGAATACATGTCGAAGCTATTTTATTATGATTTGTTCGTTTCTGTATGTGTGTGGTCGGTGAAAATATGAAGTTAGAGTATTTTTACAAAGCATTGTTGAATCCAGGGACAAATATTTATACTAACGGAGAATATCAATAGAGTTATAATGAAATTAAAATGAATGTTGTTTTCGACTTTCACAACTCGATGTCTACAGCAGTTAATAATGATACCAGACAGAGTATTAACGAGTGAGATAAATCGTTACGCTGAAGAAAAGTATTATTAATGCATACTAATTACTGCAGTCTCTCAAATATAAAAATTTCATTCTTTAGAATATCCTTGTAAGCAAACAACGCCATTTCTTGTATTATTATTCTTTTGCCATTTTCGTTTCTTTCTCGCATTATTTATTTTTTCGTTCTGGTGAAAAAAAGATCTCGGTTATTTTTTATTATGAAAATGAATTAATTCTCCAAAAGTAGACGAAGACAAAAATAAAGATTAAATTTTCATCAGAATAACAACAATAGGTGTCTATTGATCTATCATCGGACAAATTTCATATAAAAACTCATGTAAACTCTACCACTGATTAGGTAGTAAAATTTTCTTTATTGACTCAATCTTATTTTTGAAATTTGATAAGTATAACGTATATATGACCTTTCACTGGATATTTTAGGAATATTTTCGTCTATGACACTTGATTTGATGAAAATTGATCATAATTGAGTAACATATCATAAAAAAATGTATTGAGAGAGTAGATGTTTTATTGTCACAGTAATTGTGAGATACTAGTTGCTGAATTCTATTTATGACCATGACTCATGCTTTGATCTGAATAGTTTGAATTCGAATTCTGATTGAGAATAAAATATATAACGACTTTTTACTTATATCAAATCTATAAATAATAAATCTAAAAATGAAAAGAACCTCTTCGATTTATCAAAAAATAATAATTCAATTATGTGTCATAAGAATTAGAAGTTGCTGAATTTATACGTTCATCACAAATCTATCGATACTATCAAAAACACGAGAGTCATCATATACACTTGTATCAGGTTAAGAAATAACCTATAAAGTAGTACCATCGTTTTTTTTCTTTTCTATTTTCATTCTTCATTGAACAGTAAGTGAAAATATGAAGTGAGAATATTTAAACAAAGAAATTCTATCAAGACCTGCTTGTCTTTGCTTCGTGTTAATATCTCGCGTGTAATAAAACGATGAATTAGCACATAGATACATGCATCACAGTGGATTCTTTGCATGATTATTTATGGCGAAAATTACTCTTCGAGTATTCTCATTGTTTTGGCTAAAAAGAAAATTAACTATTTTAATTTCTATAATTTTGATCAACTCCACACAGCACGTGCTGAATAATATGTGTATAAGAAATAGAACGAAGGCATATTCAAAAATCAAAATTATGATAAAACAATTTTTAAAAGTCAAATTATAGACGACGACATTTACAATCACGTAGATAATGTAGTCACAGTTCTAGATGAAAAACACTTCAAACATCAGTTTTCAATTTTTCAAAAGTCATGAACGAGATACATACAAGTCATCGACAGCTTGGTGAAGATCAGAATATATATGTTCTTTAACAAGAACAATAACACATAAGAGGTGAGCTTTTAGAAGATACTTTTCTTTAGCAAAGAAAAGCAAGGACTTAAACTCATATACAGTATGGATTCTTAAGAAAGTCTGAACCTTTAAATCAGAAAGAGCAAAATAAATTGGCATTGTTAGTTTGATTTTTCGTCCTACTGTTTGCAATCAACGTAGTCACGTGGTGAATAAAATAACAAACGAAAAAATAAATTCGACGTCCTACATATGTTGCTATTACTTAAAATTACGAATGAATCTCACTTTCATTTGAGATAAAATAGTTAATTGTTGAATTATAACATATGAAACAATTTATTTTGATTTTTCAACCAATGCAAACAATTGGATCCAAATTTATAATCAGAATTATGGAAGCAAATGTATGAAAAGACATAGTATTAAGATTTTCGATGAATTTCACTCATTTTAAACGATATCAATACAATATTTTTCTTTGAAACTCACTACTAGTTGAAGAACATAGACGATCAGTGAGAAATACGGATTAGATTTTCAATGTATAATACATTGTTAAAGAATGAAATAAATATATTATCAGATTAAATTTAATTGTAGTTACTAAATAAAACAAAACAGAAAATATGCTGTAACTACTCTATAGGAAGAATACATTGAAACAGTGATCGAAGTATCTTTATTTAGGTGAAGATTCAGTATTTCGATTTGATGGTGTGTATGTTATGCTTGAAGATTTTTCGTTGTATCATGATTTATGATGAAATGCTTCTAATTTCAGCAACTATATGCTTATCACTGAGTATTTATTAGAGTAACATCATTTTAAAAACTTATTTAGACTTGGTAGCTTTCAAGGCGTATACTATCGGTATTTTCTTTTCTAAACCTTTGATCTGATAGAATCCTTCATCTGTCTTCACTGAATTGGCAAACGAGTCGTACGGCGAATAGTCGAATTCCTTGATAGTATCAAGTCGCAGTCCATTCTGAATGAGTGCTTGAATCACATCGCTCAGAGGATGACACCATTCCACACTTTGATTCCGAATTGGAGCAGTGCGATCGGCATAAGTACCTTGGAAATCATTGACGATTGGTCCTTGATTGAAGTATGATTGTTCGATGTGTGTATATGAATAGTTGAACATATCCAAAACTGGATGGAATTCAACCATGACAAAGATTCCATCGGGTTTTAAACAGCTGGAAACCACTTGAGCCCATCGATTGATATCTGGCAACCAATTAACCGTACCATAAGAGGCGAAGGCAATATCGAAAAGCTCGTCGGGTTGATCTAATGGTAAATGGTGACGTATGTCATAGATATTGCAACAGATAAAGCGAGTCGATGTTGATAGGTTCACAGCAATCGCTAGTTCTTGCGCTTTTGTAATTGCTCGTTCGGATAGATCAACTCCAATAACTTGTTTTGCACCGTTTCGAGCGAGTGAAAGAGTATCAAGTCCAAAATGACATTGTAAATGGATGATACGTTTTCCTTGTATTTCGCCTAGTAGATCGAGTTCAATCGAGTTCAATGTGTTCTTACCTCGAAGAAATCCAGGAACATCGTACATCGGTGAGGCAACATGATAATCAACCTTGTCGTTCCACAAGCGACGGTTAATTTCAACAAAGTCCGATGGCGGATTACTACTTGCACTCATATTTTGTTTTTCGTTTTATTAACGCCTTTCGTGCACACTGCTAGATAGAAGTATCAAAATCTCCGTTGTTTATCATTGTGTAAATGCAAAAGAAACGGTGGCAACACGTTGTGTAATTACAGATAACCAAGATTGTATCCAAGACAATGTTGTAGGTATGTATGTGAGTGTGGGAAGAAGAACAGTACTCACACCCACACCCACACCCCTGTATACATTATCATGTTTAACTAAATGGTTGGAGTGATGAAACATATCGAAGAACTACAATGGTGAAAATACTTATGCCCGAAAACAAGTTGCGGTTACATAGGCAGGTATCCAACGAAAATAAAAACGGATAAATATCCAGGCAATTTTCCATAAAAAACAGTCACAATATACTCTAACAATACATATCTTAGTTTGTGCCCCTTGTTCAATCGATGAGCAGTGGTGTAAATAATTGAAGCACCAACTACTAGAAAGAGAATGGTAGAATATACCATAATCGAGATGTCATCAACCAAGTTAAGAAACCATGGTATGCTAGAATGTAAAATTCCAGTAAAACAACCATAAAAAGAAAGACGGTACATATGTTCCAAAAAAAAATAACTAAATATGTTGAGAGTCAATGCAAGAAACTCGCCTAACATAAAGCTCAAACCTGCAACCCGCATAATACGAAGATTTTGCGGAGTATCGGATGGTTTCATAAAAATGAGACAAACGAAAGACCAAATGCGGTGCCACCATGATAAATTATAGTAATGATCTCGAATTTCTTGCTCCTCAGATGTAACAGTGAAAATATTGCCAAATTAAATAGCAGCGTTTTGAGTTGAAATGGTAGGTAGATATGTGTTCACAGGCTGTATTTTATTCTGCAAACCATTCATTGTTTGTAAGTAGTTTTGTATGCTGACTAGAGCACACGAAGATTGATGCTCCTTCAACAAATACAATGGAAAGTCATGCACTTCAATTGCATTCACCAACATCAAGCTTTCACAATATTGGCATCGAGCTAACGGATATGGACACTGGTTTATTTGATGCATTTCTAATTTGTCATAAGAAAGAACAGCTGTACAGCCGTATTGAGAACTTTGACACCGAATCCAGATGTTGGATAAAAGACATTGAATCTGCGGTGAACAACGTCTATCCTCGTACTGTTCACATCCATATCGACAACTCCTATTCATTTGTGTCCACTTCAAAATACAGGTCTCGTAGAATAAATTTTGACATGATCCACAGGAATGTGGTTGCCACCATAAACAGGAGCAGATCGGACAGAAGAATTCTCGAGGTACACTTTCACCATTCCAAATACGTTCATAATTGATTCTACCTATGGATACAGCTCCTGATGATCTGCTTGTCCTTTTACTAATAGCTTGACCATTTAGATCTGCTATTAATATTGTCTTGTTAAAATATTATAATAACTGAAAAAAACAAATTTCTACTTTTTTCTTGCAAATGCACACACTTAATGATGAATAGAGTGATTTTATCGATCGAAAAACCTATACTTTTTTTGCTTTCTCTATCATTATACAAAATGAGTCGATATGATGATACATACTTGGATTTATTCACCAACCTATAAGCATGTCTCATTTACCTGCATTTTCACACATGCGTATCTTGGAAATATGTAAGATGGATTAATCAACGGACAAGAGAAAAACAGGTCGGATTAAGATTTTAAAGAGAAATGTTTGTCTTCTGGTCACATTGGAGTAGAATTTCCAAATCAATATCACTCAAAGTGGAACAAGCTGATCTCTCCGATTTCTATCTATGAGAATCAGCTTTTTACGTTCATTTTGAGTCAAGAATAATGATCAGAATGTTTTAGAAATGAATAGACGTTAGGGCTATATATATATTTTTCTTTACTAGTGAAGATTTTCTATTGATCGCTTATGATAGTTTTCTATAGTTTTTATACACTTTCGCTCACTATTTTCTTCGAAAATATATGTGAATGTCAGAAAACGTTGAGTATATAAATGAAAAAAATGTAAATATTACACTTACAAAGAAAACTAGAACATAAAAATGACCTTCATTTGTTTATTTCCCTTTATTTAATGATATTATCAACTTGTTCTGGATAGAAAGTATATTACTTGAGAGAGTGAGAGTGTGAATATAGTATTTCTATAATTCAGCAACAAGATCCATATGGTTACTGTTAATAATAATATTATTGTGGGAGATACTGAGATTGTTAACATTGTGCATGACGTTGCTATTATTGAGGGTTTGACTAATGATATGAATGTGCATTATTTTCTGATCTTTTTTTAAATTTATCAATACTTTTTAAACTCAATTTCGATGCCCCCAGAGAAAAAAATAATGGCTTTGATCGAGAAGTGAATTAAAACTTTCTCATTCACGTTGATGAAATTCTTCAACTGAAATTTACCGATCAAAATATATTCATTATTCGTCTTTTTAGCACTCTACCTGCAAACATGCATTATACAGGCTGCTGATGACATCGTTATAACCTCTGACTACTGTCTGATCCTTGATGTATCCCATTGAAATTGAATAAGTTCTATTCATTCTGAAACATTTATGGGTACACGATGGCATTGATGAGTAGAATCAGAACCCACACCTTCTAGATTTTATTCCAGAAGAATAAAGAAAGACTTTTTGTCTAAAGTAGGTATAATTAGATAAGATAAACAGCATAAAAGCAATATATTCATAGCAAAATTTCTCAAATCTTCTTTCGGCGACACATGATTCAGCGTTGTGGAGATGAAAAATTCATTTTGATAGTTATGGATAGGAAAGTGATGAGCTTTTAAATAAATATTTTTCTGTCTATTAAACGTAAAAACTCATCTCTAGATCTGGTATGATGAAGTCGCTAAAAAATATACAAGGAATGAGAGTTGAATAATTGTAAGTTTCTGAAAAATCCTTATACATATCTAAAAAAGAGTTACTAGAATGACTTGCATATAAATGAATCGAAATTTTTGATAATGTGGGTGTTGTTAACCAGAGCAACAAATCTCCAAGGTGGAAACAGCAGAATCCCTGTTGATCTCAAGAAAACCGTTATACAAATGAGAAACTGAGACGTTTTTTACTTTTTTCTGTCATCTGTACCATTATATAAAATAGTTATTAGTCTCATCCTTTGTCGGAAATTGCCCAAAACAACTTCCCATAACAGAACAAAATCACTCAATACCCGGAAGTAGAAATCCCAAAGCTGAGCTGTTTATTCTGTAATGGGAATTCAACTTCCGGGTACTGAATCATACTACCAAGAGGAAAATCAGAGACTCCATCTTCTTAGAGTCTGCTGTTTCCCCCTTGCAAATCTCACATACTCTTTTCATCACCCACATCCTTCACACATCATATTTCAATAAAATAGATAACAACCTAAGAAACACTGAAGCACGGTGAAGTCGATTGAAGTGTTTTACAAATAAGGTATATCGGGGTTCTATAGAAGAGAAGTATTGATAATCTCCACCTAATTTCTTGCAGAAACAGAATCATATTACTGAACTCTTTAGTTTGTCACATATTAACAAATTTGTATGTCTCCAATTAGAGAAATGCGAGAAAGATAATTTTTTACCAGAAGAACTCAGAAATATAATGGGAAAAGAATTCGATTGGGAAGCTCTTGCGCCACGGATAGGTACGCCTGAATTAGAAAAATGGTATATTTTTTCAATTAAAATCGTTCTCTAGGAGGGATAGCAGTTTTAAATGCAAGCATAACTTTTGATGAATTGGCTTGTGCTGGTAATTCCAGATAAATCTCTCGGTCTCTTTTGATATTATCTTGACTTAGTTTCAATCCATCAACTTGCTCACGAATTTTTTTCCCGTTAATTGGTAAATGATAAAGAGTTCCAACTAAAGGAAATATCTCTGCAGGTTGAAGTACATCCTTTGCATTTGGCCGGTCTCTTCCATTTTTTATCGTTTCTTTAAACAATTCCATTTCTTTTTTATGATCGTCCACCATTTTTTGTAGAGCATCAATAACATCAGCATTTCGGGCACCAGCATTATTTTTCATTTTTTCTTCATGAATAAACTGTTGAAGATATTCAAGAATATCTTCATTTAATGGAAGAATAGCATTAGCATGAAGAAATTTGGCCAGCTTTTTATAGACATCTTTGATTTGCTCTTGTTCATTTCGTAAACTAGTAATATATTTATCAATATCACTTAATGAGGCATTTTCATTTAGATGAGTCAGATTTGTTTGATATTCATACGTTATATGATGATGTTTTTCCCAATGGCAACCACATGTTAAGCAATTACCTGCATATATAGTAAATTACTAACCAAATATTCTATTTTAGTTTTAGATTATTTTCAGATAAAGCACGAGGAAAGTCAAATAGATTGAAATAATTGTCCGGATTAATAATTTAATCTATTTATTTCGTTTTAAAAGATTTTTATTTGAAGAAAAAAACTGACTTATAAAAGCATTAGATTATCATTATCATGAGAAATAAATTATATATATTGAATATCGAACACTTCATTTAACTATATTAACTGTAAAAATGAATAAGTATTGACCTATCGATTTCTATAATTAATGCTCATTGAGAATCCATTCGCTGGACTCTAGACTGAGACAATGATCTAGAAATGACTGATAATCACGGGGGAATTTCCGTTTCTAGATACTGCCGTTTCAGTCTAGGGATTATTTATCTTAAATGGTTACACAATTTACCGTTTCATATGTTAATTTCAATGTAGATACAATCTAAAAACGAAACTATCCTTCGATTAATTCAGAAATGCTACGTTTTAATAAAAGAAAATGATATTCAGTTGCAAGCAATTTGAAAACAGGGAAACGGAAATACGTGTCAATCCTTGGTTTTGGAATCTAGTGCTAATATTAACTATTAATTATATGAGCACTAGTTAGTTGCGCTCAAATTTATTTTCAGTTTTTTATCTTTGTTGTTCTTGCTTCGTGTTCATATAATATTCTACTAGATTTGTTCAAGTGAGGCTCTTATCGTTTTGTTTTACGTAGAAGATGATCGAATCTATTCGAAAACACAATGAGCAGGAAACGCAAGACTTATTTAATCAATAATGGTCATGATTCGTACGGATATGGTACACTCTCATTTTGTTAAAACTACATTGTATGAAATTCTTCTCTAACCGTTTCACTAGATATAGACTTATACAGTAAGTGGATGTTTATAATTGATTTTTTTTGTAAGGACAAACATATTTTACCTGTCATAACGTCGATTACTTCACAGTGAGATATTCTTATATCATTAACAGCTTCTTGTACAACACCTTTCAAATAACATTTATCATGACACTTAGATGTGTATTCCGTTTTTTGTTCATTGTTAATATTAACAACTCGGCAACACTTTTCCCCACGACATACTGTACGTGGGTGTGACAGTTTCACAATAGCGGCATCATTTTGTGGTATGCCTTTTGAGGCAAGTTGTGGATTTTTAAGAACCTTGTCTTTGTGTTGTTTGGCAAGTTGAATATTTTGTTCAATAAGTTTGGCTGTTTCAGCTATTGGACGTGTAAGTTTTCTAACCACTTGTTCAGCTTCATTAAGTGAAAGTGTATCAAGAATGCCATGCATTGAACGTGTAGCAATGTAGCCCACAAGACGAGAATATTCTTTAATAGTGTAATCCCAACTTTTTTGATAGCTTGCTGTTTGCTCATCGCTTAATTGAATTCCATTTTGGCGTACAGCTAAAAATCGAAATGCTTCATTATCTAATAAGAAAGTATTATTTCTTTTGAAAGGTACATCAACTTGATAATTTGTTTTATATTGATCTAAGAGTACTTTAAGGATGTGACTTGTACTTCCTGGTGCAAACATTGTTGAACGAATATTTGTAAAAATAAAAATAATATTTTCATTTGCACTTAAATGTATATGTCGAAGAAGTTCTTGAATACAAAATTTAAAAAGTATAGTTAATCTCTCTTCATTTGGTTTTAATAGAATACAAATTGCATTTAAATGTTCATATTGAGATATATAAGTTAGAATTTCGTGAAAATTTTTGGCATCTTGCTCAAGACCTCGCGTATCCGCCACACCTGGTGTATCAATTATTCGTAAATTTCTATTACCTACTGGTAAAATAAAACTTCGACATTGTTGTGTACATGATTGACCTAGTACGCTAAACTTTTCATGTTCATTTTCTTCTCCAATAATAATCATTTTCTGTTCAGAAGTGTCTGAATGAGTAAAATTGAATGAAGACGGAATTATAGCTTGCATTCTATTGTTAACTGCTTCGTCTAATGTATCCTTACAGAGATAGTTAGCTAAACCATTTATAAATGTTGATTTTCCAACACCTGTTTGTCCCATTAATAAGATATTGATTTCGTCTTCTGGACGACAATATCGATTTGCTTTAATCGTTGATGATTCATTTCTTCGTGCCATGATCTGAAATTCCTATTAAATATGAAAAATATAATAATAAATATCTGCATATTGAAAAGAATTCATTTTCCTGAAAGAAAAACTCTTATCACGTAAAAATGTCTTTTCGAAAAAAACACATTAAAAAATATTCCATAACAAATGAAAGAGAGAAAAAAGAGAAAGCTTATCTTATGTTGGAGAATTGTTTTCTTTTTCACTTTATTGACACATAGTCATTGTTGTTTTTATAAAGTACGATTGAATATGAAGATTTTCTTGATTAACATCGTCGACTTATATGGAAATATTTCAAATGGGCAAAAACAAGGTAAAGAAGATTTGTCTGATGACTAGAAATACAAACGAATTCTAGTCAAGTTTCTATTTTTTGTTTTATAAGATAAGCAAATAAGTTTGAATATTGAGAAGTTAATTCTTTACACGATAATAAATCAATTAATATATCTACTGTTGGTAATTTAATTGTTTACCTGTTCTCCGTTTATTGTTTTGCTTTGTGTGAGTCAAAACCAAATGCACAACAGTATAAGTCACCAAATAAAAAGCGAAAAAAGTTGCGAGCTTCTTTTTTATCAACAATACTCTCTTGATAGGAAGGAAGAAAATGCATGAAAACTATTTTTCGTGAAGCCAATATATGAGTGCGGGATGTTATGAGGATGCGTAAGGGCCTACTCGTCTCTTTACCCACACCCTACTCAGTTTTCTCAATCCAAATAGCTATATTCAACCTGAAATACACATTATTCTCCATTGGTATACTCATGCAAATTCACATAGAAAGTTAATCAGAGAAGGACATAAGGTTTTGAAAATTAACAGTATATTCATATGTCTGCGGAACCGAGATATTACGGATACATTCGTACCTACACGAACAGTCCGTAATACGTGGGTGTGAGTGTGAGAATCTCTGAGAATTTGGTTGATTTCTCAACTTACATGCAGACGAACGCCCACACCTCACATCCAGACCCAGGTACTTCAGATCATTTTATATATTTGTTCATTCTAACATGTTTTAATCTTAAGGCGAATTTCCTATCTATTTTTGTTATTTCACTCTAAATGTTTCAAGGAAAAGCAATCTTCAAGATGCATCACTGTTCACACAATAAAAGTCAAGAACTTTTCACAGAATAGTACAACATGATGAATAGCATGCCATTTTTTCTCCAAAACAACCACAACAATTCAATGGATAGTCGTCTTCATAGATTGAATTTTGACCTTTAGGCCCAGGATATTGACAGAATCGAAATGTGTGTTCTACAAAAGTAAAGGGCAGAATGGTATACACAAAATTACCATGTACAATTCATACCTAATTTAGAATCTCGTTTATTTGAGTAGTTCTCTCCCATTGTATAATGAACTTCTTCGAAACCCATTCGTTCTATAAAACATTCGAAACGTCGCATTGCATTGTTCTTATTTCTCATAGGATTTAGATGTTTTTCGGTGTAATCCCTAACGATATATGTCTGTAATGGAATATCAGGAACTTCTTCATTTATCGACTGAACACAATCTTCTATTGATGATGATTTCGACCATGGCACTCGTCGTGTCGACCAGAAGGCAGTTCGTTGTCCCTTACGAATTCTTTTCTTATGTAGAAATGAGTTTTGATAAAAAAATGTAGAAGAACGAGTAGACCATTTAACAGTTAATTTGGGTGTGTGACGAAATCCACCCAGACCCTTACACTTTTTGCAGATTACTTCACCAGCACCTTTGCAATTATAGCAAACTTGTTTATCGCTATTACAAACAAATTTAGTGTATGTAGTCAATGTATTACTCGAAGAAATTATATGTATCATACTAGGTTAGACCTTTGGTACAATGTGTACAAGAAACATATCTTTTTGCTCGGCAATTCCAACATCTTGTGTAATAAATGCTATCAGTCAAAGCTAAAGTTCTATGAAACTTTTCACCATCTGGTATGTCGACTTGATAATCTGACCAAATGTTTCCAATGGCTTCACCGCTACGTTCAGTGCTTTCGAAGAATCGACCTTTATAACATATTTTATTTTATTTCTTTTATAGAAAAACACTGAATAGAAAATATGATTTAGATATCTGAAATACCCAACGAAATCTTTTGATAACATTTCAATCTATTTTTAAAGTTTGAGAAATAGCTGTTCAATAATAGAAATGTGCCATAAATAAACAACGGAAAACCATATTCGAAGTTCATGTGCTCAACTCAAATGTAGTATGACTGCTTGAAGATCAAGATGGATGTTTTTTAAATAACCTCTTGTATCAACACACTATATCAGTAATAGCTTACCTAAACTAGAGCTGCCTAAGACTGTTGCGGTATGCCATGGATGAGGTGCGACATCTGTGTGCAGTGATCTTTTTTCCATGAGTATTTTCATTCGACATTGATAGGCAATCTTTGGCTCAGTGCTTATCAATTCAGCTTGATCCATGGGTTTGGAAAAATAGCAGAATTTTGAGTCAACATATTGCTTGAAGTCAGACAAAGGTTTTGGTAATTGTTTTGGGGGTACCTCATCGAATGGTGGAACATCAGTAGTATTGGGTAGTTCACCAGGATTGAGTACATGTTCTGGATATGTTTTAACCATTTGAAAAATCGTCTAATCTAAAACAACGTGATTCTATGTAGTGATGCACTGGTGACAATAATCGTACGGTTGTCATCGATTCTGGACGAATGAAATCTTTTTTTAAGCAACTAACGATACTGTATAAAGGTTTCATAAACTATATCGTTTTATTCATTTAAATCCAGGCTATAATATATTTTAGTTTACCATTACTAACAGAATTTATTTTCTGGAATGTATTATACCCATTAGTTCAGAATTTCAAAGGTAAAAAAGCAGTAAACGAAAAAATTTAAACTCACTATACAATCGACGATCTTCAAAATTTATTTGATTTGTTCGTATGATGGAAATTGCAGTTTCAATGTTTTGTATAGATTTCTTTCTCTCTCTCACTTCCTTGGTGCTTCAGGGGAATTATTTCACCTACACAACGTTTTAAATTATCTCTGATTCATTCATCGTTATGAATTCTTTCTTTTTGCATATAATTTCATCACAGTAAGCCAACACACTACGCAAACGATACACTCTATTCGTATTTTTTTCTTTCTCTTGGAAAAAAATCGTGATCCATGCATGAGTCAATATCATTGATTTCTAACAAATTCTCTTTTCCAACATCTAGTTTTACTTTTGGCAAGCAAATTTGGTTCATATCGAGATTAGGGATGGAATTTTCTTTTTTCTTTTTGCTTTCTGAAAGGAATCGAAAGTGAAAGTATCACTCATAGTCAAGATCAATTAACTTCAGTTCATTTTCTTATGTATTCTCAATTACTAATAGTCACGAAATGAATAAATTCGTTTGCCGTCCTTATATAATTCGTTTTCTTCTTCTAGTTCAATGTGCACGGAATCTTATTAACAAGTAGAAAGTCCTTGAAAAAATAAAAGTATAGATAACCTACAAAGTATATTTTATTTAAAAATATCTCTTTTTTAATGTACAGCATTGCAGCCTACACCTTTTTATCAAATAGGGTTTAGTCGGAAGTTAATCTCCTTGTTGCATGGCGATGGTGTTAGGTGAATATGTATTTTTCTTCGTCAAAGGTAACGAACAAGTATAAGAAGTGAAAAAGAAAAATCTTCAATTCTCTTTGCCATCAGCTAGTAAATAAATAGGCAACAGCAAAATCTCAATAATGACTTGTTATAGAGTTGCTTGGAAGAAATCGAAACGAATTTTCAATGTAAAGTAACTCCTCGGCAGAAACAAAATTTTCGGTGAAAGAAATGAATAAATCCGCATCTTTTCTCAGCAATGATATTATGGGCTAAATACTTTAATTTAAAAGTTTTTAATGATTCATTTCATTTATGTGCTTATCGATAAGATGCGAGTAATAAAATCATAACTATACTACTCTATTAATACTACTATTTTATAATATATTAATTCTGGGTGTGGGTGTGTGAATATTATTCCATGAAGTACATTCACACCCTAGTACTAAATTCTCCCATCCAGTTGTGGGTTCAAAAATGTATATTGTAAAGTATTTTATTGGATGACAATCAATAGAAGAGACTCAGATTTACACTGTTGAAGAAACAAAAACATATGACAATGAAAAGCTGCAACACTGTTCGCGTTTTGAGGAGTATGAAGGACTCATTAGAATAACTCGATACGTTTTTATTTAATTATTCATAGATAATGTTACACGTATTTCCATTCTCTATTGCTTTTTGCAGTGCCGAATACGAAATGCCTAATTTGCAACACTTCTCGTTATCGCACAAATGTGCCGCAAACCACCATTGCGATTCTGGTAATAAACCCGGATGTTCATCTGTAATACGTACCATTAATCCTGTACAAACGATTGGAGACGAGGGATCATTAAAATCGACGATCTCTTTATTTTGGTTATCAATTACCCATTCGATATCTTCGTTTTTTATATTGGGATCGATGTTGGCTGCAGCGGCTAACGTTTCACAACCTATTCTCTTAATGCTACTTGGATGGACACGACATTCCAATACGTATTGAATGTATTTACCCGATTTGAAAGTTTTTCGAGCTGCAACGGGAATTGCTTTCACTTCTGAGTATCTCGGATGACTTGCATAAGCAATGGATGGAGTGAAGTAGATCCCGGCACCTAGAGCCGCTATGTTTGCCGGTTTCAGTCCATTTAATAGAATGGATAAGCCGTACTCAAATTTTGTACCATGATAACCAATACACCAACCTTTGAATTTCTCGTCAAAATTATCAGTAACGTAAAATGACCATCTTTTCCATCCGATCGGACAATAATAAGGTTTGCCACCGCGATCTTTGCCATCGGAAATAGCACCTTGCCAGAAATTATGACCAGAAGCATATATACGGTTAAATTTAGGGTTTAAGTTAATATTTGCCTGGTGCTTTTGCATTTTTCTCAATGACTCTTCGGGGCCCAAAAACATGAAAAAGGTCTTGATTTGGCCAAGATCGCTCTGTAGTCTATCATTGCATGAGTTGTAGATCAGTGTTAAAAGTCGTTTTTTTTCATTTGATTCAATTTTGTCGGATAGGCTTAATGTCATTATAGCAGAGCCCTTTTGGATTTTTTTGATTACAAACATGTTTGCATCGATTTTCACTTTATTACAAAATTGACTCATGTAATCGTTTACGTCAAATTTACTGCAATCTTCATCGATACCAATTTTTAAAATTGGTGATTTCAATCCAATACTTTTGTCAAGAACTTCGTCAGCAATTGATATGAGCGGTTTTCCTGTACTGCAATAATATTCTTTACATTGATTGTAATGGATAATTTCTTCTGGTGATATCTGTTCATCGGTTAGGAAATCTTTTGTATCTAGATAAAATCATGTCAGTGATTGTAAAATTAGTAAATCGTATAGGGTAGTATTGTGGAAAAGACTGACTAGATTCTTTTAGAAATGACTTTTTTTGCCTTTTTGATCTGATAACAATGTTTACAGATGATTAGAAAACAGTGAGTGAAAGTTCGACCAGTTGAGCTCTGCGGGACACGGGGCCGGGCATAGTTTCCGTCGTACATACATCCAACCATCAAAACGAGCATCCCAATGTTTACGTTCTTACAAAATGATTTACTCTTTCATTTCGCTTCGTAGGAAAATAGCCTTTCGGTGCAGTCTCTTCGAAAGTATAAAATATAAAAAACGATGAAGAGGATTTAATTACATTAAGAACTATTCACTACTTTTATTATGGTTTACCCGAATGTGAAAGCAATACGACGGGTTCCAAGCCCGAGCAACTCGAAAGCGTCTGTCAGGATGTGAAGCAAGTTAGAGAAACTAGGTTACATTTTATCATGATGTACTTTAATACATGACCCTTTCTGTGGACTGCACATGCTGGCAAAGTAATGTACTGGTATTCATTAAGCATTATCTTTATGAATGAAGGGTGCATGCATCTTGTCTCAAGTTATCATAGAAAACAATTTTCTCAATTGTGGTCCACTCTTATTATGGCAACCGCTGTATTTGGTTAGAAAGAACAACCACTTGTTCAATTGACTCATCTTCTGATTTCGTTTTCAGTTTTTAGGAGTTTAAAATGTTTGGATAAAAATATATAAAGCCACAGTTATAGTGGAGTTCCTCAAATTCACTCCATCTGGAATACAAGAGTCTGATAACTTCTGATTTACAAGTTTCGACAGAGCAACTGTAGGACCAAATCATTTGTTGTGGGTAGAACCACAATAGGTTCTCGTCATTTCCATTCTAACTGTCTCTAATCAGTTCTACGTTAATCTAATTGATGAAGTACTGAAATGACTGATTGTTTCAAACTACTCATGGCAACGCACGAGTATCGGCAACTCCTGTGATAAACATCACAAACACATACTCCGTCTAACTTACTTTTAATCTTTCCATTTAAATAGATCTGCTGGTTTTGATTTAATCCATTCATAGATATTGGCTTTTGTTTTTGATTGCTTTCCTGGTACACATCGCCTTCTATACGTTGGATAATCTCAACGAGATGGGCATTTTGCGTAGTAATATGTCTTAGCAAATGCTTTGTAAATAGACTGTTACGTTCTGCTTGACTAGTACGTACAGTCATTTGATTAGAGTCACATGCAAATTGGACGAATGCTCCAGGAGTAGGGCTAATTTTCTGCAGGCCAGCACTCTTCACCGTAGCTAGACGACACAAATTTAGATTTCATGAAAGTACAAACAATATAACTCACAATTCGTAGCAGTTGAACTTGGCAACACGTAGTTTTGAGCGCAGTCCAAGATAAATACACTCACGTATGATGCATTTTTTTTCACAAGCCTACTGAAAGCTCGATCAAAGTCAACTCCGAAGAATTGTAAATCTGTTTCACATTTTATTTTGTCATCATCAATAGGAATCAAGTAGTTTGTGCCATTAACATATGAAGCACAGCCGGAATAGTACAATAAGACCAAATCGTCATTACTGGTATTTTTAATGAAATCAGTTATGAGTTTGTTCATTTCTTGCTCAGCTACATCACAGGCTGTTGTCACGCGGAAATCCATTCTTTTGAGCGTGTCACTCATATCACCAGCATTATTAGCAGGATGATAAAGTTTATTTCGAGATTGGCTATAGGCTCCATTACCTATGATTAACGCTAGTTTGCGATGGCGAGATGGGTCATTGCTAGAGGTTGCCATTGTTCAGTTAAACTTGGATGCTTAAATAGAACAAATTTCATGTGGGTATGGGTGTTCTTGTTTTACGTGATAATGCTTTCACAAAAGCTAGGTCTGTCTTCAATTTCTTATTTTTTGCGCTATTTATTTGCTGAATAAAATAATTGGCAAGTCATCATAGTACAGAAAAATTTCGTTCGAGTGGGCTAAGCCGATACAGTTTTTGATCCACGCGATCAGAAAAAATAGCTAACGTGTCAAATAGAATCGTGTACTCACGATAGCTTCTTGTGACAAATGGCTAAGCTTTATAAGTGATGATCAGTGGAAATTTTGTTTACTGCTGCAAAAGATTTTAAAAGTGAATTTACGCAGCTTCTCACTGTCTGAATAATAAATAAATTTTGTCACTGTATGACTGTTTAAATTTTCGAGGCAAAGCAATTGTGCATGGTGGCTGCAAGACAATAGAACACCTTTGTCTCATTCTCCAACTTTCCAATGTTTACGTTTGGCAATTATAAAATACCCCGAGGAGTCGTCTCCAGGTGAATTATGTCTGTTGTTCATGTTACAAATGCCAGCAAAAGCAAAACACAGCACACTTGCTTTCTTCATAGTTGAAAGTAATCTGCGAACTTGTAACAAAAAACAACTAGCGATACAGCTTCGATCATCAACTTTCTATATCGTTAAGTAAGCCAGTTTGATTCAAACGCTTCAACTGAAAAAAAGGAAAGAAGTAGGTCCATTGGAAATGATTAGCCCGGTGGGTATTCCGAAACAAAACCCACAAAATTCGTTAAAAAATTCGAAGCGTAGCCTATTATGTACACATGTTGAGTTAATCATTTTGGTAACAAGATGTTTTTTCGATAGTGTAAGGATATGAGTGAAAACAAGTATGACATACACTCTATTTCTGAATGCATTGGTTTTCCAGAAGAACTTCAGTACGCCCCCATCTTGAGAAGCAAGAACATTCTTAACTCGTATTTCCTCCTTAATAATAGGGGTACACTCTAATCATAAAAAAAAACAATTTATTGCTAGTGATTCTTCAACCATCCGGTGCAAATTTAGCGCTCGTCATTGGTAATGGCAACTACAGCGAGAAGAAAAATCAACTCGATCATGCTGTTGATAATGCACAAGAATTCAGCGATAAGCTCACAGCATTAGATTTTCAAGTTACCTTCAAGAAGAACGCTGGTAAATTAATGAAACATATCATTGCTGCCTTCATCGAGAAAATAAAAAACGGTGATTTGGTCCTATTCTATTTTTGTGGCCATGGTTGCCAGGCTGATGGAACAAATTTTTTCATGCATGTTGATGATTCTGATATAGCAGATGAAGCAGATGTACCGGCGTTCGGTATAGATGTAGAAAAGACAATGGAGCTACTAGCACGAAAAGTGAATTCTAATGCCATGATATTCATTGCCGATTGCTCTTGGCCATACACTTTCAAAGGCCCGGTTGCCGGACGTGGTAAGTTACAGTGTGAATGATTTAATCTATGTGAACATAATGTACATGTAGCTCCTGTCAATGCCAAGAGCTTCGGTGAAATGAAGACAACTCCAGATGGAGCGATCATTTTGCTTGCCGGCGCTCCTGATGAAACTCCAGCAGATGCTTTGAAAATAGGTTATCAGAGACTTTTCACGAAGCAATTAATCGAAACTATCAGTCAAGAGAACATCTCCATCACTAACCTGTTCCGTAGTATCGGACAGAGTATGCAAAGCAAAGGCAAACAGGCGCCTAGATTACTCACTACGACTAAGGTGCCTGAGGATTGGAAAATTTCTTTGAATGACACGACACTTGGTACGTACAATAGTAGCGTTGGTGTTCATGAGTAAATTCAGTAGCTCTTAAATTTATTCAATCAAATTCAATATAGACTATTTCTAAATCCTAAAAACAGAAGTGTGAACGAAAACTAAAATAATTGTCAGGATGAGAAAGAATGCAAAAAGATTGAATTCTTGTAAACTTTGATACCCAGCTGTATACATAGTTGTTTTTATGGATGCCTAGGAATAGTAATCGATTATCTTCACTTGTATCGGGTACACTAAAAATTTACTTTACAACACAAAATTTTTATATCTCCACTAGCCTTTCATCAAATGAGCTAATTTGGTTTTGATTCCATAAGAATAATTTTTTCGAGAGAGCTTCCAATTTTTTCCAATGGCAGAGAAACGTTCAGTTATAAAACCTTCAAACGGTTCATGTGCTTGTTCAGTTTTGGCTGTGATATAGAATTTTCCGTGGATTATCTCATCTGACATGGGTATATTTTAAAATTAAAGTAAAAAGCAATGAATTAAGACCTTGTGTGGTCACTACATAGTTACTTTTATGCTTAAATAAGGGTAGAACACATAGCAACCAAAATAGTGATGAAGGCATCAACTTTATTCGAGAATCCATAACCACACTTGGTCTAGTAAATGAAACAAACAGTTACTTTTTATTTATCATAGAGGTGCCCAATTGTGTACATAATGGCAAATGGGAATCAAATGCTTACACCATTGCGGGGGGCTATGGTCCAGGTTCCGCCTGCGATATGCTACATTATCCTAAAGGTATTCGTCTAGACGCCGACGAAAACCTTCTCATTGCTGATTCTTCCAATCATCGTATTGTGAAATATTATTCTGGTGCCAAGAAAGGCATTAAAATAGACGGTAACAATATAAGTGGATATGGAGACCCCTGTTTGTGTGGACCTTCCGGTTTAAATATACACAAACCTTCAAAGACTCTGGTTATTTGCGACTATCACAATATGCGAGTAATTACTTATATGATGAGACTATGCAAATGTGGAAGAAAGATCGTTGGTAATGAAAAATGCTGTGAAAAATCTCCGAAGAAAAAGACATTTAGAAAAACAGTTATTCGGAATATTAAATGTGGTGGAGTGGCAATAGACAAAGAAGGTAATGTCTATGTTTCTGACACCAATAGACATGAGGTAAGGCGTTATAATGCAGACGATTGGATGGAAACAGTAGTAGCAGGTGGAAAAGGACAAGGTTCACGTTCAAGTCAACTCAATCATCCAACATACATATTTGTGGGAAACGATCAATCCGTGTATGTATCGGATACCTGGAATGATCGAGTAATGAGATGGAGAAAAGGCGCAAAAGAAGGTACACTTGTCGCAGGTGGTCACGGTAAAGGAGATGATAGAAACCAATTGTTTTGTCCAACGGGACTCCTCGTTGATCAATTCAATGCAGTTTATGTAGCTGACTACTGGAATCATCGAGTAATGCGATGGCGCAATGGCGATCGCCAAGGAACTGTCATTGCCGGCGGACACGGCCCAGGTGATAGCGAAAACCAATTGAATAATCCTGAAGGTATAGCGTTCGATCCCCAGGGTAACCTCTACATAGCAGATTCGAACAATCATCGCATTCAAAAGTTTTATTTTCAGAAAAAATGATTTTATTACTTCATAAGATATTTTATTGCCATTTCAAATATATTTTAAATGATCTCAAACTATTGCTCTTTACTGAAGCATTGACTCGTTACACTGACAGTACGATTATTTCAGTGGTTGTTCTTCATTTGAAGAATACCTTGGTGAGGGAATGGTGTGTATATGTTCCTGTTTTTTGTTGAGATTAGTCATCTTAGTTGATGAAATGGATTATGGGTCTCTTTCAAATGGTTTAGGTATATTCAGACACGATCTTTTTACTTTTTTTAGTTGGCATAACATTTGGTTGTACAAGCATGCAGTTTTTTATTCTGAATATCTTAGAAGGAAACAGTTGCAATTTGTGCGTTTTGAAGAGGATTTAGACGTACTATAACTTTCGTTAGAGTGAGACTGTGCTCATTGCTCGCTATCAACTTGGTGTCGAGGATTGATATCATATTAAAGTTATCTTGAGGATGTGTGTGTGTGTGTGTGTGTGTGCAGTTATTTCCTTAACTCATGCCTATCCACATCTATACCCATACTCACACTCAAACTGACGCTAACACTTCACATCCATCGAATTAAATGAATACTAAATACGCTGTAAAAAAAAGGTAGAATAATAAATCCTTAAAGGGTTTAGTCTACGTTGCCAGAGGTGGCGGAGCGTCACTAAGCTAGGTGAGGCTCATAAGATTTTTTCTTTCTACTGTGGAATTTTATGAAAGCATCCAGTAGAAAATAAGTCTTCTTTTCATTGAACCTCAGTAAAAATAATAAATGCGGAAACATCGGATTTGCATCCGATTGTTATGCGCACTTCAAAAAGAGAAAAAGTACATCCATTTTTTCCGTTCCTATTTTGTCCTAAACATTTTATATCATGCACAACAAAACTAGAACGAGAATCGAATACACTACTGAAGATACAACTCATAAAGACTGTTGCTAAGTGACGAGTTCTATTTACTCCGAAAAAATTGGTATTGCTCATATGAAAAACAAATAAATAACACACCCACACATTATCAAGATATGTGAGTTTTTTGACACTGTGGTACAGAGGAAATCTTGTGAGCAACCTATTTATCCTTATAATTTTGCAGCCCATGGAATTCCCTATTATTGAATGGCATATGATAGTTGAAGAATTATTTTGATTATAATAATTCTTTTCGTTTGAGAAAAAAATTATAATAAAATAGAATAGGTCGCTATTCACTTTGAAAATAAGGATATTTTTTGCGTAGCTCAACAAATTCTTAACGGATTACTTTCATCTTCGAACTCGACTGAGATATTGATGAGATCATTCTATGTACAAAATTTCATGACAAGTGGATGAGGCTTTCAAAAGTTATCGTGTTAACGGACCGACGGACGGACACACTGACCGAATCTAGAGTGTACTCACTTTTTAAGTACACAGAAATGGTCAGTATAATTAAAAACGAAGACTGGAAAATACCAAAATAAACTTTTCTTTGCACCTACTTTGATGCAAGAATAAAAAATAGCAATAATCAGTACAAAAGCAAGATGAAGCTGAGCCCAAGGGGGAAAAAGCGCGACTCCCGTACTCCAGCGGACTCCCTGTACTCCCAGACGATATGATAACTGTGCTTCAAAGACTTTTAGCAATTTTAAGTCTACTATCCACCTGTGTTGCGGTATAGTAGCGGGAGTCCAGCCAGCTCACATCTATTTTGCAATAAAGTCAAAATAGTTCGTTTTATTTCATCCATTTTAAACGTTGGAATACAATGAAGTATTTTGGCTATATTGCAAGATAGGCTTGGGCTGGCTGGACTCCCGCTATTATACCGTAACACAGGTGGATAGTAGACTTGAAATTGCTAAAAGTCTTTGAAGCACAGTTATCGTATCGTCTGGGAGTACAGGGAGTCCGCTGGAGTACGGGAGTCGCGCTTTTTCCCCCTTGAGCTGAGCCTCATTTTGCGAAATCTAGGTGAGACTCAAGCCTCATGGGTCTCAGTGACTCCGCCGCCTCTGTAAGTTGCACTTTCATGAACCCTTAAAGGATTTATTATTCTACCTATTTTTTAACAGTGCACTCACACTCGCACCCCTAAAAATACATTCATGTCAATCAATCACCTATCGACTATTAAACCATATTCATCTTCACTTGAGTACAATTTTGTTCGACAGTTGCAAAATAAAAAGCAAACATTTAAAAGACTACAGATTCACACGTATAAATAATTTATTTAATTATTTAGATTTATGTTTTGACGATCTGTCTGATCCGACACTAGACAACAATGAAATAAAAATGAATGTTCTTTAACATAAGTTAACCAATCATTTATTGAACAGTATTGAGCCATCGGCAGTCAATTCATGGGGACCAGTACCTAGAACAGAGAAAAAAAATGTATGCAGATTCATACAAATAAAATAAATATTCATCTCACCTAAAGACCAACATATTCAAGTATATCTTGTGGGTTATCAATTGAGTAAAAATTCATTTAATAGATTGTCAAATAATTTGTTAAAAAACATCTAGATAATATTCTTTTTCTAATTAAAAATATAAGGCAACGTTCAGGAGCTTCAGAGGACAAAAAAATAAAAACAATAGCGAGTAATTAATCACAAAAAAGTTTTATTCGTCATCATCAACACGGAAGAAGCACAGTGACTACTTGTATCTAAGATGTTTGACTAAAGAGAGAAAAAAGAAGAAGAAGGCGGCGAAGATAGAGCGTTCATTTATATGAGATGAATATAGGTCAGTTATCCGCGACTCTGCTTTTGTTTCAGTATACCCGTCTATTAGAAAGTCTTAAACATTCTTGACACGAAAGATCTTTGCTTAGAAGTATTGTTAAACACAGAGGGTGTGGGTGAAAATTCCTTTGTATAACTTCAACACTCACACCCATTGCACTCATAATATCCTCAATAAACTTTTCAATAGACTTGACACACTTCTGAGAAAGTCTGGACGGTGATTTCATAAGAGTGTAGACATAATTGATTGTTGCTTTTATAGTAGTAAATAGCATGTGGAAATCAGGTGGTCCTGGCTTGATAGTATCTGGGTCTGAAACATTAATCTACTCGGATATAGCAACGTGAACTCAGTTTCTATTATCAACCGTCGAGAACTGATATTACTTGCCAACAAATCCAACGCTATTTGCTCCAGTTGATTTTTATTTCATATGTGCAACATATTAATTGTGTTTTATTGTCCATTACGTTACTATTTTTCTCCCTAACGGAAATAATAGGTTTGCAAGTGTTCTGATTTTCTTGAACAATGAAGAACCAGAAAATAGTTTTGTATATTAGAAATTTCGAATGCATCGCCAGTGGCAAGAGATCTTTTAATGATTTGAGCCAGGTCCAATTAAATCAATTGGCTATGAGTCATTTGTTTTGGAAAGAAAATCATGGGTTGACTCTCTCAGCTCCAATCATATTTGTTCACATGAAGCTATGAAGGTAACACATACTCTTTATATATATATATATATATAAACAAGTTTGCACTACAAAAAAAAGAGAGAGCAGGATTAATCTGTCTCTGTTTAACAAATTTATGGGATGAATATTTTTGGATATAATTGTTTTTTCATGAGTTGGATCTAAAATATTTTATATGTTAGTGAATGTAGTCTCATTTTTTTCAAGTTATTGTAATTAACATATTTATATAATGGTATGCGTTGTTTTTGGTTTATCATATAAGCTTTGTGGTTTCTTCATATTCACAATACGAAAACTCTCTAGAAAATAAATAAATAAAAATATATTGTGAATTAAAGAATTTGTCTTCGATCTAACGAGACAATCGTTTAAAATGGTAAATGTTCTTCTGGGTTTGGACTCCATAGAATTCAATGATATATAAAAAGGCATCGAATTTTAATACGGACTCGATCAAAGAAAACATTCTTAACTTGAAGCGGTTCCCTCGTAAGATAAAGACTACACGTTTTGTCATTGATTGCGGATGAATTTTATACTCAAAGCTTACCTAGAAATTCATTAACATCAATTTTTCCATTTTTATCCAAATCCATTGCCGACATGACTTCATCAATATAACCTTGGTTTACATCGCCCGTACCATTTTCACGGTCAAGTAAAAGTTTAATAAAATCAGAAAATCTATCACGACTTATAAAACCTGTAACATTATTTGTATATTACATACTTGCTTAAGACAATACAACAAATCCTACCTGAATGGTCAGAATCAATTAAATTAAATAATGTCATAAGTACATCTTTCGACATATATAAATCTTCCATAATACCTGCATGAGACTAGAATAATAAGACTGTAGTACTTAATTTCTAATTTCTTTTCTTTCTCATACCTTTTGAAATTTCGCATCATCTGAAGCATATTCTTCAAGCATACTATTATATAAGATTCCTTGCGTGTCTTCTTTTACAAATTTTGAACGTAAGTTAAACCAAGGCAAATCAATTTGAAGAACATTTTTCATTATATCGGCCCAATTCGTCAAAGATATATGATCTTATTAGATCAAGGAAATTATATATTCTGAAGATATATTATTAGATATTGCATACTAGTTTGATTTCTATCGGATCTTTCAAATTCTTTTCTAAGTAAACTTTGCTTCGCTACAATTGTCTCCATTAATGATTGATAAACTGGATCTTCGAATAATGTTACTCTTTAAACGAAACAAAAGAATAGCAAAGATATATCTTAATTTCTATTATCTTACTGTTTATTAAAACTCAATTCTTCAACTGGAGCAATATCTTGAGATGTATATGACATAACCCACGGCTCTTCTGTCTTGTAATCCCTAAAATAAACTTAGTATTTGAAGCGAAGAAAAAGAATAGCTATCATAGTTGTTAACCATCGTGCAATAGCACCCCAATTGGATTCACCATTATAATTCGATGCACTGAAAACAGTTAAAACTTTGTTGTTATGTTCAAATTCATAACCCTTTTCTTTAACTTCATGTGAACGTATAAGCATTGAAAAGTGATTTTTACTCAGAAATTTTTCTGTCACATCCGGACCAAAATAGCAAGCCATACTTCTATTATCATTGTTTCGACAGCCTGGACGATCTTCAGGATCCGGATCGCACCACAATAAATCTAATTATATTTAATCTCAGACAGATGAAATTATCCATTTCTATAATTAGTACCTGCCATTTGAAGATACTCATCTTCTTCATCTTTAGTCAATCGTTGGCCAATATTTTTCGATATCGGTGGTATACTAAGTGAACTATCTACTAGTCGATAAACATATAAATTTATATTTTACTATTTTCAACTTTACATCGATTTCTTGTCAGAGAATTTATTTGTGATAAGTTAATACGATCAGATATTCCTCCGTGGACTATCATCAGTTTAGAAATTCCTGTGTCAACAGATGAATAAATTGGTAGCCAACTGAATAAATCTTTGAATAGATCAATTAATGATGTTTTACATTTCTAAACATATTTTCACTGGATTGATTTCTTTTAAAAAGCAACGAACTAACTGTATATTTTCGATTAACTTCATTTTCGAAACCATATCGAAATGTAACCATATGATCTTCATGATTGCCTGGTCAATTTTTTGAGAAATGATAAAAACAAATATTCAAATTTGATGAGAAAAAAAATACCTCGATTGAGAAATACTGAACTCGGATAGAGAATTAAAGCAACCAGAAGTAAAAGAATAACTTCAACTGAATTCGGACCTCGATCAACGAAATCTCCATTGAATATAAATGGATTATCAGTTGCAGGTAATCCATTCTATTTAGATTTAGAAATAAATGATTCAAATAGAAAAACAAATAGTACTGTGATAGAAAATCTTAATCTACCGCATTAAATATATGTAATAAATCAGCTAATTGTCCATGAAGATCGCCAACAATAAATATATGATGTAAATTAGATAAATCAATATGATTAACATTTGGTAACGTTTTAAGTATAGCACGTGCTTGATGAAGAATTACATAGACGTATTTTTCATGTAAAACCTATTAGTAAACATAGAGTAAGCTAGAGATTTGTTATTGACTAGCAGAAATATCTCCTTATAATTGCGAAATAGTGAAGGTGTGACTGAGATCTACGGAAACAAAAACGGAATATTTACTGAATTCTCAGCATAAATTTTTGTTTCGTCAAGAAACAATATATAAACATACATTTACTTTACATTTTTAAATATGCCTAGGATATTATAAAAGTAATGGCGAATGTACGGCAATTTCTTTTGCAAAGCGTTCAGAAAGTTGCAGTCTATTTGGTTTGATCATACTTCAACTAATATTATAACGACGAATTTTCGATAATATTAATTTTTCTATCATATGTACCAGTACAATTAATGGCTATTCGATATCATTTGAATAATTTTTGGGAGAAAGAACATAGAGAGCTGCGATATTCGCCATTCGAAATTAGATAACTATTCGGGTGCTTGATTTCGAGTAAAACGGAAATTTTCATATACATAAGTGGTTAGCTACGGTTTGAGGATCACATTTTTCTTTAGCTTTTAGATTAAAAAAAAGTAAAGACCACTAAATATATTGTGTATTGTCATGTACTTCAATATTTTTTCATAGAAATACAAACAGTGAAGAAAATAAGGTTTACTTCGAAATCTCTATGAACCAAATCAAAAGTATCATATGCAAACGCTAAATTATCAGTCATGCCGTCCGCAACATTTTCTTTTTTATACAAGTTTCATCGGTGGTTTCAATGTCATGAATAAGTTTATTTTCAAATAAGTTGACTGGAAAATCTTTAAAAAAATGTCAAACAGACACTAGCATTACCGGCGCATACATCAGAAAAAAAAATCTGATCGAAAATTTAGTATTATGATCTGAGTTGAAGTATGATTAAATGTTACAGAAAACGGAGCATTCTCTTTTTTTCCTAGTAAGCTATATACACTGTTAGGTAGTGGAACTACACTTGGCCCACTACCTTTCTACCCCGGTCGAAGAAAACGATCAGTAAACGGTCGTATACGATACAAATACGGCCCGTTTTACGTGCCGTATCTTTCCCGTATAACAGGGACAGTAATACGGCCGTATGTTTTATAGAATACGATAATGATACGCCTGTTTTACGAGGTTTTACGGCTGATATACGGTGTCCGTGTACGGCCGTAATACTGCCCGTGTTAAAACGGCTGTTTTACGGCGGAATACGATGCAAAAACGACCGTTTACGGTAATATGGCGCCGGTTTACGGTGATCCGTTTTGATCGACCTGGGTATGCCTTTCTCGTCTTTCTTTCTTCTTTTCTTTTGTTTTTCTCATCTTTCTTTTCTCCTTTTCCTTCTTTTTTCCTCATCCGTACATATCTATATATTCCTTTGTTTATGTTCGGAATAAACAGCTTATGTTGTTTTGTTTTTTCACGTCTAGTCAAGATAGACTAATATAGACTAAAAGTTTCTTAAAGCTTCTTACAGGAATTGCAGCACACCTAATACTACGTTTGGTATACCATAGGCAACTTCTTTAAGAAACAGTTCTTCCGTATCGACATATTTTCCGATGAACTTACCGGCGTTAATATCATTAACTCAAAGAATAATAGCGCTTATGCAGAACATACAATGTAACCGAAGATTTTCCATCTGAAGTAATAACTAACATAGAAAGATCATCAGCAATAGGCTTGGTAGCGTGTTATATATATACTATGTCATGTTGACAATGTGCCAAGAAGTACGTCTCTCGTGAAGGACTAGATTAAATATAGGATTATAGAAATCGCTGGGCGTCCACGTATAAACCATAGAGCTAATGAACATATCGCAGTGACGTAATCAAGTTTACATCACTAATATACATCCCAGGACGAACGATCCGATACCTGGATCCAACCGGACTCGATCAGATTTCGACCGGTTCCTGCAGGATTCTAAGCAAATCGGGTCGCCGACCCACTCACGGATTCCTAGTGTTGGAATCCGACTTCTAAAATTCCTATCGAATTCGGTTGTTGGATTTGGTCGGATGTTCACCGGATCCCAACACTAGGGATTCGGCATTGGATTCATTCATCTGGGTATAGCTGATACTGATCCACACTATATTGTCCACCATCCTATCAGGATGCATACGCAGTTCTATATATCTCGATAGTTATTCGAAGAATATTTATGTGACCTAAATGTTTTTTTCTGTTACAGACAGTTATTCGCCATAGTAATTATCTTTTCCTAGATGTAGTACTATTAACGAATCGTTCTATTGGATGTGAATATCTGAATCTATCAATACAAACAATATTTATTTTGCATATGAACCTCTAAATCCTCTATCGACAGACAACCTTTTTAGTATTTTATCATGTTGTATATCGTAGTCCTTCACGGACAGTATTGAATACTTTTATCTTACTTACATGTCCTTGTTGAAAAGCTTCAATCAAATCAACAAATGTACTTCTTGTAATTGGACTTTTGATGTCTATAAAAATAAATAAGAATTTTGATTTCATTGATTCTAAACGAAGCACCCGCTTACGTGGTCCTCGATAATTAGACTCAACCTGAATATTATCAGGATTTGTGAGTCTTAATAGTTTTTTTTCTTCTATATAAAATAGAATTGAATTTATTATTTATTTGTTTCGCTTCAAATAATTCTTTACCAACGGATAATCCAGGTTTTTGAAGTAATTTCGTAACAGATGGTGAAAGTATATCGGATGCTTTGAGTAATTTTTCAAACATATCTCTAAGCTAAGAGATATAAAAGAAATTTCAAATCATGATGTAATTATAAGTAGATATCATTAATACTTTTCCTTCAGTTTGTTCACTGGAATACTCGAGTTTTCCATGAATTTTCCATGTTGCTCGATCTTTTAATCTCACTTGAGCTTGAGGATTACAACATACGCTTTCAATTTGTGCTGGAGCATCGCCAGCTAGAATGAAAAACAATTATTTTCTTTATAAAATATTTCCGATCGTTATTTCTTATACGAATATACGAAAAATAAAAATTCATACGTGATGGCGGCGATGATTGCTGAGGCATTTTCAATTTTTGTCTAGTTAATCTATTAGAAATTCTATTTAAGGTACAATCTAAAACAGACAGAATTAAAAATCAATTCTGACAATTTTATCTTACGCCTATTCCCTTTATTACCAATCTATCGAATGATACCAACAATCGTCATTCTATAATTAAATATCAATTTTCTTCAGTATACTACATAAGGATACGTATGTTACAGAGATTTAGTACATATAAAACAAGGACTCTTTCTTACGGAGAAGAATCTTAAATACTCACCGCCACCCGCACCCGCTGCAAAATAGTTGATTATTTCACTTCTATTTTGTTTTGAAAGTTGCAAATTTGGAGGTAAGCTTTCATTGCGACCCACTTATTTCGTCTCTTACAGCGAAATTTGAAAACGTTCTTCTCGAGAAAAAAGCGTTGATGGCTTCTTAAAATTTTTCAAACCTATTTCAAAAATGAAATGCAGAAACTATCACAATTTTAGAAAATTGATCGTGAAATCAACCCTTCCCCCATCGTTTCTGCTAAGCATCGCTCTATATGTCACAAATAAGAATGCAGAAAAGAAAAAAATATTGCTTAAAAGCAGAATTATTAATGCCACAGTTGACGTATGAAGCTAATACGTCCAGGGAGAAGAACTAGTATAGGGCGAAAGAATTGGAAAGAGGAGAATGCTATCGTTTAATTGAAAACAATGAAAAATATCAGCTAAACTCTTCGAAATTTTCATTTCTCGATATGCACTTTTTCTAAGCCACTGAGCTTCTGTTACGCTCCAAAAACGTATGGTCATACGGGAGAGCTTAGTTCATATAAATAATTTATGTTAGTCGTTTAAAATACCTTGCTTGTGTTATGATTAGTGCAAAGTAAATTAGAATTATCAAAATAAAGTGAAAAAAGAGTGGAAAATTGATGTAAACTACTGGTTATTGAATGCCTACAGTTTATTAACTACAAACTGAGCAGTCTTGCCTGTTTTTATTTTATTGGGGCTTTTGTTTTAGACTTTATCAGATGATGCGACCAAAACAGAAAGTGGAAAGTAGAGCTTGCATTCACTATATGTATCCAACTGATTGTACTCCTGTCACGTAATCAATCACAAACCATTGAGAAAAGCATTTTATATTGAAAAAAAAATAATGACCATGAAGAAGAAAGAAATGCTTTTTTTTAAATATTAGTTTTTTCTCCCGACATGAAGCTTTGAAAACAAAATTGTTTGCATCTTTGTCGAAATTATTTTGCTATGCTTCAATAAACTTAAAACAGCATTTATCTGTACATCAAAATCCTCAAAATATTGGATGTATCGAATATTGTGTTGATATTTCTTTTGAATTTTTATTTCCTTCAACTTTCTATTTAGCGTCACGCGATGTAAAATGTCGTTCTAATAGATTAGCCATGTTCTCATTGCGATCATAAGCGATAAATAAAAGATTAATGAGTCATGTATACAGATTGTGAGAGAAACTTTCTTTTTAAAATTCATTTTCAATTTTCATAAAAAAAGGAAAACTTATACTTTTTATTGATCTGCACAGTCTTCGCCATTTTCTTCGCTGCGATTCAAACGAACAGTTCAATACAAGCACCATCGTTTTGAGAATTTTCCCCTGCATAATAAAAGTCTTTGTCAAAAGTATCTGATGATGTGCCTTTTCGTAGTTAATGAATTTAGCGAATCCATCGCATGTATTTTTATTCCCATTAACAATATTTTGCTTGATTAATGTAAGTGGACTTTTTTTGGCTTGAAATTGTACTCAAAATGTACGATAGCTAGATATTCTCCAGCCTCTCTTTTAAAGTAAACATAGAAAAAATACAAGCAAAAGATCAAATATCAGAATAGAACTTTCATCGAAGAACATTCGATCACAATTGAAATAAAAATAGAATGATGTTTGTATCATAATCTATCTATTCACAAGTATATTTTCATGATTCTATTCGAAACCAATAGATGATTAACAATGAATAGCCAATGAAATATTTGAATAGTATCTCTAAATTGATTATCGGAGAAAGTGATTGATGATCATTCAGATAAATCGCGACCATCCAAAAAGAAACAACAAGATTTCTCAATGATGCCGAAACGAAGAACTTCTGATTATGCCTTCAAATGATAAGTTTGAGTGATCAAGATCGCCGCATTTGCCCGGTATTGTTAATCGATATGATTCATCGTTGTTTGGTTATTGTCGAATATCTTCTTCGATGTGATCTGTGAACTGCTTGTGAAATTCTTCAATCGTTGGTATATTCCAACTTGTTGATTTCAATAGAAACATTGAATCCAGATCACCAATAGACTTTTGACAACAAATCCGAATAATGAAATTTCCAGCCTCTTTTATCAATTTCTCATTTAATAGTTTTGCTGGTGTTGTAGAACTCATTACATTATTGGTGATGGAAAGTTCTACACGGCGGATGATATGTAAAATTTCGTGCAGAATGATGATTACTAGAGCAGCCCAGTGTCGCATTGCTTCTTTATAATCAGCTACTAAATCCCATTTGCAGCTAAAAGTGAAACAAACATTTGCATATTTACTCTCTTATATTAACAAATGATAGAATTTTTCGTAAATGATATTAGCCAATAGTATGTCATGCTCTATCTTTTGATATATAGCATGAAAAAATTCTCTGAGTTATTAAAGTAGAATCTCAGTAAATATCTCTGAGAAAATTTGGTTTAGTGGTTTTAGATGATGTGCTTTCGAATGCGCATAAAAATTGAAATCTTATTTTTTTTATTGAGTGCTCCGTATGCTGTAGGCATACTCGATATACTCATGGACGCTCTCTTAATGTATTTGTAATAGTGAACGACTGCAACAGAAAAATCTCTAAAGTTCTCACTTTATCATATCTTGAATTCTGTGAAACAAACAGTTGGGTGCATCATTTTAAATTATTTGACAATTGAGACACGTAAGTGCAGAATAGTTTGGTGGTAAAATTCCTTTATATAAATGATATTTTAATCGATCGATTGTCATGTTTAAACAATGTTTAATTTGTCCGTGTGTTATGTCGAATTTTTCCTTCTTCAACAGTTGATAGTAGCAATGTATCACGAATTCTTTTTGAATAATATGATTTAATAAATCAAAACTTGAATAAAATTAGGGCCGGTATGTATCGATTAATTCAATTGGATTTTCAACTACATTGGCAAAAGAAGCAACATTTTTTTGGCTTAAAGATAAACTTCTGTCGGCAATTAAATATAATACTCCAGTTATCACATATGAGAACCAGATATCATCTAAATAGACAAGGGACTTGAATTTTTCTCAAACAATCACTAGAATCATACGAACAGATCGTTTGAGATAAGAACTCACATTTGATCATGAGAACTAATTAGTTTGATAACACAAAGCATTGAGGAAGACATAAATGAAAGTCCTAGACTTTTTTCGAATAAACCTAAGTTGTCTAGTACTGGCATAGATAGAAATAATCGGTTCATCTTGTATGTTATTTGAATCGGCTACTTGAGCCAATTTGAGCATAACATCATTCGTGATCAATAATTGTATCAAGTGGTAAAATCCTTTAAAGCGTCTAGAAGTTGGTGATTCTGATAAATGTGGCCAATATACATTCAATAGATAATATAAAATAATAAAACTAAATTGTTTTATTAATAATGGAATCTGTGTTTCTGTTCGGAAAAGGAACAGGTCTGTTTCTTTGACGTCTTTTAGCATAGGTAATTTATTTAATATAACATTAATTTATTTTTTTCTTCGGTGTTCTATCATCGAAATATTCGATGAGTTGATTGAGAACTTGGCTTACATCTAAATTAGCAGGTACATCTTGCAATAAAGAACAAACCATCAAGCTAAACATTTGATGACATCAATCAAACACAATTAATTAGAGATTTCAACGTTCATAGTCTATCAAAGTTCCATGTTAAGTTGGTTGCTGTTGTTTGAATATATATCAAATATGAAATAAATCGAATTAATTTCAATTCTTTTTCAGATAATGATTGTTTTGTAGCATCTTTATTGTTTAATAAATTTCTTTTAATTTCAACAAGTGAGTTTTTCGGTGTGCCGTAGAAAGGTCGAAAGGAAAAATGTCGAAAAGAAAATGGTCGAAAGGAAAAATATCGAAAGGGAATAATGTCGAAAAAAATATAAAAACGTCGAACAATACATTTTACCACAAAAAAATGTCAAAATTCGAAATAAACGAAATAGCGATGTCTACAGTAAATGATGATTCCAAACCCGAGTAATTTATGTTTTCTTTTCCCATAATTCTACTAGTCTAGATTTTGCACCTCTTGTAGCAGTGCTGATTAATATACTTCATATAAATTAAGTAAACAACCCCTACATAAGAGTAAATAAATAACTAAAATTCTACCATTATGGCTGCAGCTGTCGCATCTTCAGAAGATGAAACTCAATCGAAGTCACCAACGATTTCATTTATTAATTCACAGAAAGGAAAACAATTGCTAATAGCAAATGAATACATTTTCAAATTAAATAAAACAACAACTACTACAAAATATTGGAAATGTGTAGTTAATAGTTGCTCTGCTAAAATTCATACAGATGTGAATGGTCATTTAGTTAAAATAAATGATGAGCATAGTCATCCTTCAGAAAAAGAAACTATTGAAGTTCGTGAATTTCGAGAGAAAGTTAAACAACGAGCAGTAAATGAAACAACACCTATGTTAGTATTAACGTACGCAATAAAACATCCTTCTCTTAAGTCAGAATTCTAAAATACTCTTTTTGATCATTTTCCACAACAATATATTTTTTTCGACATTTTTCCCCATCGATTTTTCGACGTTTTTCCTTTCGACCTTTGGACGGCCAACCAGTTTTTCTGGTCATGATTTATTGAAACGCATAAGGACCCAGGTAAAAAGTTGAGAAAAATAAGAAATTGGATAAAAATTTTCATAACTAATTCAAGGGCTGGGTCAACCAGCTAGATATTACGAAAAAATATGAAAAGAATTCTTAAAACGAGTAAAAATTGGGTGTGTTTTTCTACTATCAAATATTAATTCGTTCGATCACAAAGTGATAAGAACGACTGAAATTACTTTGTTTATGATAGAAAACATTAACAACCCTTTTTATTATTTGTTTTGTTTTTTTCTTTCTTAATGATGATAAAATAAAATGTGCACTCAATAGTTGAAGATTGACATAAATAAAATATTATATAGAATCATTCTATCACCTTTGGTTTGCTGAATAATCAGAGTGACGTCTCTATTTTTTCTGACGAAAAATTGAAAGAATGTGAAAACATGGTGTCTGCAAAAAAAACTTTCATTGAACCGATCTTAAATGGAATCGACTGGGATAGTTCACAGCAGTTTTAAAAAAATCACTATCAGTACTACTTATGCAACATAGGTATTAATTTCCTTTTTTTTAAATTTCTGTTCTACCATTTTTTCAAGCAAAAATACATATATAAACGCCTACATGTAACAGAAGTTACTTGTTTTGACAAAAAGAAACCAAAAGGAAAGTGAATAAATCTGAAAAATAGTGCTTTCATCTGTAAATTTTGCAAGTGCGTCATCATTTGGTCAATTTCGATTTTAAAGATGAATGGAGCATTAAACATGAAAAACAAAAATTTATTTACAAATACTTTCTGATAATGTGCTCTTTCTTTGTGTCTCCGAAGGCAAAGATTTCAACGATGTTAAAAACAAACGCATCGTCTTTGGGCTACATCCAACTTTATTATTAAATTGCTTTAAAATAAAATATTTAAAGCATACTATAGAAGGCTCTACAATGTTTTGATTTAGAGGCACGTGTTACAGCGCTCAAATAGCATTTCAAAACTCGATTTGTAATCGAGCGGCAGAAATACAGTCATTCGACATCCTACGGATATTCAGCTACCATTATATTTACCTAAGCTTTTCAAGGAGTAGAATTTATGGGCAGGGAACATCTTCAGTGTGTTTCTACTGATAATACGAGTCTTATCCGAATATGTCGGTACAGAAAAAATTGCCATATATATTAATTAGTGTAACGGAATATGTCGCGAATTCTGAAGAATCTATGTTTAGGTATTAAAAAAAAAGGGTTTTCTCACATATGACTAAATTTAACGAATCTCTTTAATGTAAAAATAACTCTACAGTTAGAAACGGAATGTTTAAAGTCAAAACGAGATATAGAAATCAATTTTCAAGATGGTTGTAGAAGAATTGAGTATTCTTATAACATTAGAATCTTAAAAATCATTAGCATATAAGCAACACAACTGATAAAGGATTAAAATAGAGAAAGAGGAACATCTTGATGAATGAATGGATTTTGAAAAGGTAAAAAATAGCATTTTAGAGAATCGCAGATAAATGTTACAGGTATCATATACGATTCCTGACAACTGTGAGCATAAGATAAATAGTCTTGAGAGTATTAGGACTCGTCGACTACAGTGAAAAACTTTCCTACAATGCGTTCGTTTGCTTTATCCCATGAGGGAGAAGTATTGCTCGAATGATTAAGTAATTTGGATATAGATTTTCAAAGTATTTCTCAAGTAACGTAAACAGATCAGAATCATCGTCAGGAAACTCAACCAATCATATTTCTATATGAGATGGAAGTAAAGAGGCTATTTTAGGCGTCTTGATATAAACCGATGATAATACAAGATTGAATATCATAATTCGTATACGTTCATGCTAAGTAACTATGGTAGATGGCTATGTCGACAGAAGTCCATCACGAATGCTACGATGGTGCATTTAACGGCGAGAATGTCACAATAGTATAGTTTCATTGTGAATTTATTATTAAGTTTTTAATCTGTGGAAAACTTCATGTTTTTTCTTTTCATTACAAGAACTACAAAGCGTCATTAAGTGGGCGGCAAAACATTTGCTTAGCAGCAACTGGTTCAAATTGAGCCAAACCTTCAAATAATAAAACTGGAATATTGCCAAAATAAACATCACTTTTGTCAAGCAGTTTGAATATTTCACTTAAACGCTGGCTAAATTTTTGAAAAAGACTACGCGAAACCAGTTCAATTTCGTCGATGATCATCAAAATTAAAGCAATAATATAAATAGTGCAATCAAGAATATGTGATGCAGCTTTGCTAGTATGTGTCATTTTCAGTTTAGCCCTTTTGGTCTTTATGGGCGATCTTTGAACAGCTGGTTCACTAATATACTAAAGCCGATCAATATTTTTTCAATCAATAGAAATAACATAGGGTTTTCCAGAACTAGCTAAGCCATTTACAATATTATGAAAAGTAAATGGTTTTGAGATATATTGAGATCGATGTTAATCATCTTCAGATCGGATCGATGCTGAAAGATACGATCTGAAAAATTGCTTCAAATAGTTTTTGTGAGTTGACTAATTTCAACACCTCTTGAATTCGTGTAGAAGTAGTGCTGGTGTGGATATCTTCATCAGTTGTCGGACACATAAACGATGTTCTTGGCTTCGATATAAAATTATGAGAACTTTTTACTATATGAACTTGATTTTTCAATAAAACTTGATGAATGACTGGTGGCGTTGTTCTCTGGAAAAATCAATAAGCATAATTAAGTAAAAATATATTACTGAATTGTATACAAAAACCTTGTATACCATTTAAAATTTCTACGATTGGATTCCGATATGGTATTCGAATGAAAAGAGTTGAATGGATATTTAAAAAATATCGGTTGATCTAAATTAATGCATCAGATAGAATTTTATACGGTTGACTCTTGCAATATGTTTTGCAATTCTATTGAAAGAGATGGATCACAATCAAAACAAATTAAAAATTTCTATAAGGTCATACTGTTAATAATCGCTGGAGTACATTGCTGTTTTGCATATCCATGTGTAAGTGATTGAACGAATTCGTCCTCGCTGAAGTATTCTTTCGTCTTTGCATGGTTGAGTTCCATATAAAATCTTACATCTAATTAATAAATGATATCGAGAGATTCCTATTGTTTAGAGTTGATAGTTCAAAATATTTACTTACCTTATACAGTTCACGACGCTTCACTTTTGCCAACTTGGTGATGACAAAGTATTACGTTAATTGTCTTTATAGGAATTCTTTTTAACTTTCATATGACTGGTACAAGTACTGTTTAGCATTTGATATGCTCAGCTTTTTTTCCATATTCACGTACTTTGCTACATAAGAAAACAAGTATTCAACCAATGCCTATCGGTCGGATCTGTTACAATTTGAATATTATGGTTACAGTGAGCTGCTTTAAAAAAGATTTCACAGAATTATTCGTCTTGACTAGAATAGAGGTATGAGAAAAAAATATATGAATCAGTAATAACCTCTTCAGTCCATACCTCTTTATAACACTGTTTCGATCATCTCTTGTCACTAAATACGAGCTTCGTAGAATGTGCGAAAGTGTATTTCTTTAGCCAACTCAAAAGAATTTCCAAATCAACGTCTCAACCCTTCGAAAAATTCTTTTTTTTCTTTTGTTAGCTGTAACGATTAGAATTGTTGACTTGACCAACTTGCTTGTATGTTTCGTTTTCATGTAAATAATTTTTATTTATATCGTTGACGTTCCCTATTTATATTTCTTTGAATTTGTATCCTGAACGTATACAAACTTTAGTGTTGTCTACAATGATTGTAACGTTAACTAATAACTTTCAGAAAACCATTCACTAAGCTTTTGAACGCATAAATCTGTCGATATATCATTGATATTTTTTCACAAGTAGACTTACTTTTTGACGAGTTCTTTTATCTGGCAACAATATGTTTAGAAGTTTGTCGATAAATTCAATAATAATTTTTTCCCTTCCGATGTATCAGGAGAAGGGATGTTATCAAACCAAAGTAGCGCATATGCAAATAAGGAATACAACTTCGCTGGAGTTCAATCTTGAAAAAAATGATTAATTATAACGTAATTGATAAAGACATGACACTTTTTGCCCCGCATTAATTTCTCAAAGTGCCACATTCTTGTTACAAGCGCTTCATTTTCTTTAATAAGTTATAAATAATCATGATCAGAAAGGTTATAAACTACATTCCAATCTGGATGGTGTATATAACCAAACCGAATTCCAGTATCGACATGTGTGAGAAACTCCATCTCACCTTGTGAATTTACGCTCAAAAAGATATTGGATTTAGGCAATGTTGTGTACATAGAACATAGCATTTTTGAGGTACACATCAAAGCGTAGTCGTACCCAGGTTGAACAGTCCGGCCTGGAAATGGCCGGTTCCGGGTAACTCCGTTGATTTTGTAGAAGCAGTATTATGGTTGAAAATTTTTCGGATTTTTCCCGGTGATTTCCGATCAATTCTTGATGGAAAGTACCTGAACTTGGCAGGAATCCGTCGGAAAAGTTCGGCCGTATTTTTGACCGGAAAACTGCTTCCATGTTCCAGCGATTTCCCGTGTTTTCCTGCAGGATATGGTGACTTTCCTGCATATTTCCTGGACTATCCTACGAGATCCGGTGGCCGGAATGTTCGACCTGGGTACCTCGAGTAGTGTTTCCAATTGCTAAAATCCTTAAAAACGATATTTTAATTATGGGACTTTTTCTACTACATCATTCTAAATAATAGACAATGCATCTTTCAAAAGCAATGCATTCATCAATTGCTAATATTTTGAAATCATACAGTAGATATGACATTAAGATTTGCTAATGTATTGAAATCCTATACAAGTCATGAAGCCAGTAAACGTATATAGATCAGGGTTACCAAAGCTCCTGCTTTGACCCGGGATCTCCTGGTTTTGAAACTTTTCTCCTGACAAGAAATCTCCTGATTTCAGGAGCTGTTTTTTATATTTTCTCCTGTTTTCTCCTGATTTTTTTAATGTGACGATTAGCAACGTTTTGAACCTATTGCGCTTTTAAAGAGAAAGGAACAACTCTATTTAAGTGTTAAACTTATATATGGAATGACAATCGAAATCAAATGAACCATGATTTAGTTGGAGCTGAGTTAAAGATTAAAATAAATACACATTTGCAGCGTTGTCAGATGTCGAACTTGAAAATCCGAAAAAAAATCCGGAAAGATTTTTCGAGTCAGTTTTTGTCATCTAAAGTACGTTTCACTCTAGCGGATTTCGAACAAAGACACTCTTTATACATATCTGCAACATATATTTAAATAAAAAAAGTGCTCATACAACAATGTTGCCCGATGTGAACCTCGAAAATCCAAAAAAACCCAGAGTTGTTTTTCAAAATCTAGAAAAAATCGAGAAAAGCTTTGCAAATTCGGAAAAACTTTAGAAATCCCGAATTTTTCCGCAAAATGTGGGAATCTGGCAACACTGCCCATTTCACTTTCATACAATTCTATCATTATCTTTTAAATGAACCAGATCTTTCGAAGAAATATTCAATCGGTAGATAAGTAGAGTCACGTCACCAAACTGCTACGAATTGCTGAGTAAATTGGTTAAGTATTTTTTACTATTTATTCTAATGAGCATGTTTTAGTTATCTATTTAAATAAAATTTATGAAGTCCGCATTCTATTTTCAATTATAATTCACCTACAAGGAAATTTTCAGTCTCAATCTCATTATAGGAAAAAATTTTAATGCGTCTATTAGTGAAAAATCGGATGTTGTCAGATAAAGACCACCCAATGAGTGTTGAGTGTCAAAAAACACTCCTGATTTTTCACAAAAAACTCTTGTTTTCTAAAATTTGAATTTGGTAACCCTGATATAGATATATACGTATGTTAAAACATAAGCGATGTTTTTAATTGTTGTTTTTTGCATGATATTTACAGCCCTACAAATATCATATCTTTAAATCAAACTCGTCGTGTACGAAACTTTCAAATTAGATCTGTTTGTCATCTTTTCTCAGTTGATATCAGTCAGAATTTACAATATTCATGAAGTTTGAGTTTAGCAAGTCGTTTCAAATCAAGTTGTCCTCCTACAACACTAGAATAAATCTATGGATATGTACAATCAGAGAATGTTGCAAATGATCTTATGTCACACAGCAAAAAGCAATACTGATAATTTGATAGAACAGCTACTGTTAGACTTGTCGATTGGCAATTTGTTTTAGTTTGACATCTTGAAAAATGTAACCCAAACGAAAATAGGGATAGTTTTCTTTCCTAGAGTAGGTGTAAACGTGAGCTTGAGGATTTCACCCACACCCTTACATATTCTTTTCGCTATTTTATTGCTTGTCATTGAGATGCTTTTTGCACCTAAGGTATACATTGAACAATTGCAATTTTTATTCTATACATTGTATTTCCTTGCCTGTTCCGCAGTTGAATTGCATCGTGAGATGTCGCAGTTTGAATTTTTTCTACCATTAGTCATATTTACCAAATTGGAAGGAAAATAAATTTGGTAAAAGGAAAGAAAAGGTAAATTGATGTAATGCGTCATTGACATGAGAAAGAAAGAACAGCGAATTACATACGGTGCAATTTTTGCTGAAGTTTTGCCTATATTATTTCAAAAAACATCTGAGACATTCTTAAACGCATCGTTCTCAACATACGACTTCTTCTAGAGGTCCGAATTGAGCGAGTTATCTTACCTTCCCGTCGAGTAGAAGATCTTCTCTCGTTATCGGGCAAATTTTTTCCTTGTCTGATGCGTTCGCGCATCAGACTTTTTAAAATATAAAAAAGAAAATCTGATCGAGTCAATCTTTCAAGAGATAATCGAAACGCGATACACTTTTGAAAAGAAATTAACAAATTTATAAGAATCATATCGCTTAAAAATATGCAATTTTATGTAAACTTCTAAAGGAGTTTATTCATTTAGAAAAACTCTTGTGTATTTAACTTTGGAGATGAGAAAAAGAGCGCCTTTATACATTTGATATATCCATATAAATTATTGTATAGTTTGCATTGATATATCTTAGGAGACGATGTGAAGTGAGTGAAAAATTCACCTAGAATGAAATCTTTTTTCTCGATATTATATTGTAAATATTAGTGTTTGCTTTACCGTAACAACATAGATAATAGAAGTATCATCGAAGATCAACCTATAGACGGATATGCACAGGCCGTCTGCCATTATTGTTATATATGTCTAGCAATGTTCTTTTTCTAATGAACTTGCATGTGATTAAAATCAAAAGTT